TTTTTTTTTGGTACTGGGGATCAAACTCAGGACCTTGTACTTGTGAGGCAGGCACCAGAACCACTGAGCTAAATCCCTGGACCTTATTTGGATTTTTTGGGGGGGGGGGGTTCTGGGTAAGAACATTGAAATCATACAGAAATATACAAAATTTTAAAATGGATACCAGGAATTTAGCTCAGTGGTTCCACCACCTATCTGGCAAGCACAAGGTCCTGAGTTCGATTCCCAATACCAAAAAAAAATTAGTCTCACCAGACATGGGGGACACACCTTTAATCCCAGCACTCGGGAGGCTGAAGCAGGAGGATCACTGTGGGTTTGAGGCCAGCCTGGGCTACATAGTTCAAGGCCAGCCTGAACTACACAGTGAGACCCTGCCTCAAAAAACCCACGAAAAGTGAGTCTTTTATTATCTCCCCTGTGCCCCCGCCCAGCTTCGTGCCCTGGGGTGCCTGACATTTCCTGTGTATCTGTGTCTTCCCACATGAAAGACAGGCAGCCCACCTTCCGCTCTGTGGCCTGCTCTTCCTGGCCCGGGCAGAGTTCTTGTGTCAGGCCTTCGCACTGCGGCTTGGACAGGAGCAGTAGGTGCTGGGAATCGTCATTTCTTCCATGTGTGAGCGTTGAGCGTGCGTGGTGCTGGGGACTGAACTCAGGGTGCACAGTGCTGCCCAAGCGCTCTGCCGCTGCACTGGCCCCCAGCTCTGATATGTGCATGAGTGTATGTGTGAGTTTGTGCGTGAGTGTGTAAATGTAGGAGTGTGCGCGTGTCTGGAGGCAGGAGGTTCTTTTTTTCTCATTCAGAACTGGGTTTCTGGGGCCAGCATGGAAACCAGAGCCCGGAAGACCTGGGCTTGGCTGAGTGGCCCCGGGCCGGTGACCGGGCAGAGCTGCAGGGGCTGATTGGCGCCCGCCGCTGCGTTTCGCCTTGCCTTCCTTCGGCCCAGGAGCGGACACGCTTCCCTCCGGGGGCCTTTGTACAGAGGCCCCCACAGCACACCCACACAGCAGTGAGACGTCCCCCAGGGTTTGATTTGCGGGCAGAGTAGGGGTGACCAGTGCACCCCGAGCAAACAGGGCTGTCCCCCAGCTTTGGCTGGGCGCTCTGGTGGAGAGGTCACCCACGCCCGCAGGCTGCCCCTGGGCCCAAGCGGGCACCGGCTGCTCTGGAGGCTCCAGCTGTGCCCCTAACGGTCACAGCGGCCTCTCCAGCAGTGCCGGGCCCAGGCCTCCTTCCTGGGGGGTGGCCGGAGCCCCTTCCGGACTCTCGATTCCCCAGGCCGCTCTCGGGGTGGGAGGCCGGGGCCGTGCCCGGGGCCACGCTGGCTCTTGCCTGAGGTGCTGGTCCAAGCAGGTGCTGCCAGGCTCCGGTTCCCACTCTGGGCCTCCCCGCCCTTGTTCGCTATGCTCCTGGTTGTTGCTCACAGGTCCCCACACCCCAAGTGCCTGCTGCCCCTCTGAGTCTGGCCGTGCTGCCCGCCCTCCGGGGAGCTTGCGCTGTGCCTCCGGGATAGCCTCGTTCTGCTCTGGGCACCGTGAGGATTTTCTGCCGTGTCTTCTGACTGCTTCTCTGGAAGCACACGTTCTCTCCCTGGGTGCGGGGCCACCCCGTGTTCCCGGTGGGGTCCAGCAACGTCTCTGTAGGATTTGGGTTTTCCTTGGGGCTTTCTGGGTAGAGGATCGTATCTTGAAATTAAAGAAAATCTAGTCCCACGTTTTCCCCCAAGTAAGCCTTAACCAGAAAATATAATCGGCCTTGAAAAGCAGAGGTCAGAGGCACCAGCCCCAGCCGGCCCGTCCTTGCTTCCCTGCCTCTCAGAGCGGCCGTGAGCAGAGAATCGTGATGTGGGAAAGGCAAGGTGGGCCCGCTGGGGCTGCTTGGTTTCTGTTTTTCTGAGACTGGGTCTCCCTGTGCAGTCCAGGCTGGCCTGGAACTCAGGGTGATCCTCCTGCCTCAGCCTCCCGAGTGCTGGGATTAAAGGTGTGTGCCTCCACACCCAGGGCGGCTGGCATTTTTGGTCTCCAGTTTTCAAGGCTGAGAATTTTCCTGCTAGGTCTTATTTCCGGGAAAACAGGGCCTCTTCCCTCCTGGTGGCCGAAACTTGTTTCTGCTTGGGGTTTTAGTGCCTTGTTTTTCCTCAGACATTTTGTCAACCTGGAGGGTCCCCGGGCCTTGTGGCCCTGGAGAGGCTGAGGCGGGAGGCTCAGCACCCGCGTGCTGGCAGCAGGCCCGCCCTCGGCTTGACCTCACCCCGGGTCAGCCCCTGCTGGGAATCCCGCTCCCGCTCCCGGCCCTGCGGGTGAAGGCGCTGCCTGTGTGCCCGGCCCGGCCTCCTCCGCGCGCTCTTGGCCCCCAGCTGGGAGGACTCGGCTGGCAGGGCCCCACAAGCTCAGCACTTCTCGGACCCGGCTCGGCCTGGGTCAGGGGCTGTCGTCCACCTTGGACAGAGAGGCTTGGGCCAGGAGAGATGACATGATGAGAGGAAGGGGCGTCCTGTCCGCATCCCGCGGGCACTTGGGAAGTGTGTGTTTGGGGTGACCCTAAGCCAGGCGCGGGGGCACATAAGCCTGTCATCCAGGCACTGTAGGCTGAGGCAGGAGGATTGCAAAATGTCTGGTGGTGCAGCTCGGTGTGAAGGCCCTGGATTCAGGCTCCCGTACTGCGGGCGTGGGTGCAGGTGCTCCGCCTCCAGCTCAGTGTCTTCTGAGTCCTCTGGGTGCCCGAGCCGTCCCAGGATGGAGCCTGGTGTCGCCAACTCCCGTGCTCTGGGTTTCGGGCGAGAGTGTGGCCAGCCTTACCCAACGCCTGTGTCCCCGATAGGCCGCCGGCCGGGCACAGGCGTGTGCCTTGCACATGCACATGTGTGTGACCCCAGGGGATGTTGGCGATCCTCTCTGCTCCGTCCCGGGACCCTGGCAGCCCCCCAAGGTGCACATCCTGCCTTGCTTCACTCGTTTGCTCCACTTGTGTGACTTGAGACCCTGAGGGTGAGGTCTGGGCCCTCAGCTCCCCGGGTCACACAGCATCTCGGTGCCTTCCAGCTGGCGACAGGGCTTCCCCCTGGCGAGTCCCCACACCCGCCCTGCAGCTCGGTGGCCCTGCCTCCTCAGCCCCCACCTCACCCCGTCCTGCTGAGCTGGGGTAGCCAGGGCCACAGGGAAGGGGCCGGTCTCTGGGGCGCCTCTCCCACTGCACGGCAACCTCAGGGCTGTGTCCCCTGCCTCCTCCTCACTGGGCCGCAGGGCCAGGATCTGGACAGGCACCACCTCTGCACCTTCACCTGAGGACAGGGGCACTGGCTGGTGACCCCGAGGCCTGGGCCCTGCAGCACAGCATCGCGGGAGGGCAGCTGGGGCTTCAGACCCAGCTGGGGCCCTGGGGTTGCAGGCGGCCTGTGCCCTGTCCTTGCTTAGTCAGTGACATGGGCACCAGGCAGGGCTCAGGAGGCCGAGCCACTGCGCTGGGAGGGGAATCCAACTTTAGATCCGGGGCACCAGCCCAGGCTCTGCGAGGCGCCCTTGGGTGGGCACTCCCCGGGGCCGGGTAGTTTAAGGGCATCAGCCGCCAGCATGGCTCTTGCTGCCTGCCTGGTAGGCAGCATGTGGGAGGGGTCCATGAGGTGGGGTGCGGGGGCCTGGGAAACGGGGCCTGTGGGCAGGGTGGGCACACCTGTGATCCAGCACCAGGGGAGGCTGAGGCAGGAGAAGTACAAGTTCCAGCCACGCCTGGGTGACTGAAAAACTTAGTGAGCTCATGTCTCAAAATACAAAAGCTAAAACAAGGCCTGAGGATGCAGCTTAGTGCAAAGGTCTGGTTTCCATTTCCAGGAGTGAAGGAAGGGAGAAAAGGAAGAGATGAGGAGGCCGGGCCATGCTGTGCTCCGGGGTCACCTGGGTCCTCCCAGCCCTGGGGACCTGGGCTTCTCCTCCCCTGGTGGAGCGGGCCTGAGCTCCGGGCAGAGGTGGGAGGCCGGGCGGTGGGCTGGGGTGGCTCAGGCGTCTGCCCCTCTCCTCCCTGCAGTATGGCAAGAAAAAGTTGAAGTACCTGCCCTACAACCACCAGCACGAGTACTTCTTCCTGAGTGAGTCAGGGCGGCCTCCCGCCCACCGCCCCTCCAGACTCTGCGCCTGGGGCACCGTGTGGGCCGGGGTCCCCTCCTCCTGCAGCGGGGAGGGTGGAGGGATGAGGGGCTGAGGGCGGGCGCCCTGACTCCGCCTCCTCTGCGCAGTCGGGCCGCCGCTGCTGATCCCCATGTACTTCCAGTACCAGATCATCATGACCATGGTGATGCGCAGGGACTGGGTGGTGAGTGCAGTGTGACAGTCTGAGGGTCTTGGTGCCCCCCGGCCCATGGCCCTGGCTCTGCCCCAGCCCCTGCTCCCGCGGGGACCCGGCCAGGCCCCGCACTCCTTGGCCGGGAAGCGGGGTGGGCAGCAGACATGGGCTGAGGAGACGCGTGCGTGACGCCAAGGCCCCTCGGCTTTGGCTGAGGAAGGGCCAGGCTCGGCCTGGGCCCCAGTGGGGAGGGGCTCCCCGTCCTGGGCCGGCGGCCGTCTGCCCCGTGTCCCCCGACTCCTGCCTGTGTCTGTCCAGATGTCCCCTCCAAGACTCTGCTCCTGCTGGGCCAGGGCCACCACGGCCACATCGTAGCTGTTCCACAGAGGGCCCTGCGGGGCTCCCAGGTCACGACATTTGAATATGAGTTTGGGACACAGTTCGGCGGCAGCAGCTGGCCGGGTCTCCTGATTGTGTGGCCCTGCCGGGAGGCCCCAGGGAACAGGACCACCCCAGGGCAGAGGGCAGCGTGAGGGGCCCGCCCTGCCGCAGCTCGGGCTGACCCTGAACCCAGACCTCCCGGGCCAGCAGCAGCCGCAGCTGCGGAGGAGCCGGGCTGCAGTTCTGCTTGGTTTCGTATCCTCCGCTCATGGTTTATGTTGAGACAGGGTCTCACCAGGTTAATAAATGGCCCAGGTGGGGCTGGAACTTGCGATCCTTCTGCTTCAGCCAGAGCAGGACAGGGCAGACGGTGTTCCTGAAAGGCAGAGCTGGCAGGGCCCGGGACATCTGAGACACCCTGGGGACGTCCACTCATGGCCACGTGGCAGTGGGCCTGACAGGGCTGGGTCTGGGGCCCGGCAGTGTGTGGAGCCCTCCAGGGTCACGGTGGCAGCTGGCGGGGCAGTGCTGGATGTCCTGCTGGGCCTGGATCCCCCGAGACCTCAGCCTCTGGGAAGGAGGTGGGCGTGACCCAGGGGCTCAGGAAGGCTTGGCTGTGGCTCGGCCAGGGGTGCTTCCGGGCCCCTCCTTCCTGGGCTTTTCTTCCTGGGTTCCCCGAGAGAGGACAATCGCCTGGCCGGATGGCATGTGCCCCTCGGCCGCGTTCCTGGCAGTGGAAGTCTGGTTCTGAGAACCGCTAGGGCACTGAGGGGGGTCTCACAGAGCCCCACGTCCCCTGCGGCGGGGCGGGCGGGCAGAATGGAACGGGGTCTGCTTGGAGCAGAAGCCACCAGCTGCCCCTGTGCCTGGGAGCAAGCAGGGGAGCAGGGCAGGCAGAGGGGTGCAGGCCGCACCTGGGGGGACCACGCTCTGACCTCCCCTCTGCCTGAGTCCGAGATCTGGATACATGGCCTGGACTCTGGCAACCACCCAGGCTGCCCGCCCGCTGTCCCTCCTGGGAACCAGGCTTCTCCTCAGCCCGGTGCCAGCCTCCTGGAGGTGCTGGTTTCTTTGGACGCCCACGCAGAGCGGGGAGGTGTGCACCTGCAGCTGGGTGAGCTGAGCCACAGGGCCCTGAGCGTCCTCTCCTGCAGGACCTGGCCTGGGCCATCAGCTACTATGTGCGCTTCTTCTCCACCTACACCCCCTTCTACGGCATCCTGGGCGCCCTGCTCTTCCTCAACTTCATCAGGTGCCTCAGCTGGGCCGCTGGGCCCCGGCCGGGCGGGCACGGGTGGAGCTGGGGTGGCCGCTCTGCAAGGACCCCTCTGTGATGCTGGCTGCACCCCCAGGTTCCTAGAGAGCCACTGGTTCGTGTGGGTGACGCAGATGAACCACATTGTCATGGAGATCGACCTGGACCATCACCGGGACTGGTTCAGCAGCCAGGTGAGGGGGCCTCGCTGCCGGGCTCCAGCCTCCTGTGTCCTCGGTGCAGTCGGAGAGCAGGACAGGGACGGTGTGCGCTGGCTGTCCCTGCTCACCCTTCCGCTCTCCAGCTGGCAGCCACCTGCAACGTGGAGCAGTCCTTCTTCAACGACTGGTTCAGCGGGCACCTCAACTTCCAGATCGAGCACCAGTGAGTGGGGCCGGAGGGCGCCGGGCCTCACCCACCTTCTGTGTTGCACCCTGGGCGTCCGTCCGTGGCTCCCTTCCCCAGTGCTCCGGGGCCCCCTGCTGGCCGGCGTCCCCTGCCCCTCGCCCGGGTGGCCCTGCGCACTGGCCTGGCTGGGCACGGACTCAGCTCACGCTGGGCTGCCCCGTCCGCAGCCTCTTCCCCACCATGCCTCGCCACAACCTGCGCAAGGTCGCCCCGCTGGTGAGGTCGCTGTGCGCCAGGCACGGCATCCAGTACCAGGAGAAGCCGCTGCTGCGCGCCCTGCTGGACATCGTTGGGTGAGCCTGCGGGGACGCGGGCTCCTGCCGGGCTGGACCCCGCCCGCCTCTGCACCCCGGCAGCGCCTGAGCCCTGGTCCCCGTCCCTTCGCAGGTCCCTGAAGAGGTCGGGTCAGCTGTGGCTGGACGCCTACCTCCACAAGTGACCAGCTGTCTCCGGGCGCGGGGCGGGCGACAGCCCGAGGGAGGGGCTCTGTTCTGAGGGTCGCCCTGGGCCGGGCGCCGTCTCCTCCTCCCCCTCCCTTCCCTTCTCGCTGACCTCCCGGCCCAGTCCCCAGGAGCAGGGAGGTGGCCCTGGTGGGTGCCCCATCCCGCCTCCCGCTCCTGCCCCCAGGGATCCTGGGTCCGGGCACGAGGCCTGCAGCTGTCTCCTTTGGGCCCCGACACCCGGGTCTAGGGCGGGTCCAGGCGGGCCCACTGCCCCGGAGGGAGCTGGGTGCTGGACCGACTGCAGCCGTAGTTCCCTCCGCCTCCTCCCAGCCCAGAGCCCAGACTCAGAGCCGTCCTGCCCGTCCCCAAAGCGCTCCAGCCAGAGAGAGCTCTGAGGGGGCATGCGTGGACGAGGCCACCGGGCCATGGTGCCCACTCGGCCTCTCGGGCGCTCTCCTGTTGACTTTTTAATCTTTGCTGTTTTCACGTTTTCTACAGATGCATTCCACAGGAGGGTGGCCGGGCTGGTCCAGGACAATCTGCTATTCTCCAGCCTGGTGGGGAGGCTGGGACAGGGTGGGCAGGGCAGGAGAGGCACGGGGCGGTGACCTTCGCTCGCGATCTAACCCACTAACCAGCCTGCAGCAGCAGCCCCCGCCTGCTCCCCAAGGGCAGAATGAACCCTAGGGAACTGATCTTAATTTTTATCATGTTGCATCCCCACCCCTACGTTTTTGAAGAATAAAAGAAGTAATTTTGTTCTCACTTCCATGTGGGTCAGCAGGAGCGGTGGGAGGCCAGCGTGCTTCTGCCTGCTGATGTCAGGGGTGTGGGCTTGGGAGGCTTCGGAGCCAGGGATGGGCCTGGCCTGGGGGTGCAGGGCAGCTGGGCCCCATCCCGGGCCCTCGCCCATGCCAGGGGTTTGGGGGTGCTGTGATTTTCCAGGGGCCCTGGGGAGCCTGGAGCAGGGCTGGGGCCGGGGGCCGGGTCAGGGAGTGGCCCTGGAAGCGTCTCCACTCCAGGCCCCTGCGAGAGGCTGGGCTTGAGGACTCGGGGACCCCGAGCCCTGGGCCATGAGAGCTGGCTGTGCCCCTGCTGCTCCCCTGGGGCCTTGGAGCTGGCCGCACAGCAAGTGCTGCCCTCCCCCTGGCCTGTGCACTTGACTCCCTCTGTGTCCCCCAGGCCTGGTGGGGGCCGGCCCATCACCCCTGACAGCTGGGCAGGAGGGCGTGGTGGGAGGACCCCAGGAGCCACGAGGCGGTGGCCACAGAAACAGTTGGCCCAGCAGAGCAGATAAGCGCCCCCGATGGCTGGTGGCTCCGATAGCCTTATTGGCAGTGGGCCACTCGAGCCTGTGTCCTGCAAGCTCCTTAGCCTGGACACCCAGGCCCTCTGGGCACTGGGAGGGAGAGGCGGCCTTGGGCAGGAAGGGCTGAGCAGAGGTGGCAGCCAACGAACCCCAGGGCCCCACTGCTGTGTCCTTGGGCAGCGCTGTGGGCCAGCAGGTGCCGTGAACGCAGGCAGGGCCAGGCTCACAGCAGGCCAGCTTCGGGATTCCGCCCAGACCAGCTTCCTGTCACCCGGCACGGCATGCCAGGACGCACAGCCACGGCCCCCGCACGTGCGACTATTCATGTGCTGTGGGCTCCAAAGGCAGATGGGTCTGCGGGCACCCGGGGGAGCCGTGGCAGGAACGGAGCTCGAGGGGCCAGGGCCAACCAGACCAAAGCGTCCAAGTCCTAGCAGGGGCTCCTGTCCCCCACCCTGCGGCAGGTGGGGACCAGCCCGAGGGACACCCACACCGAGGTCGTGTCCCGAGGAGCTGCTCGAGACTGGACCCACCCCAGGAAGGGGATGGAAGGCACACAGAGTCTCCGAGGCCCCGAGCTTTCCTGTGCTTTGCAAACCTGGCTGTGGCCCCCGCTGTGTTCTGTGACCGAACAAGAGACCCACAGGTGTGAGGAGCTGGCTCGGGTCGGGGGGCTGCCCCCGGCTCCAGGGGGCCCAAGGGGACCCACAGGGAGGGTCCCAGCTTGCAGTCAGTGTGCACAGCCCTGGGCTGAGAGGGGCAGCAGAGCAAGCCAGCCCCACACTGTGAGGACCTAGGTGGCCTTGGGCTTAGCCAGCTGCCAGTCCTGGTGCCAGCACCGCCCTGTGACTGCCCAGCCACCGGCCACTGGTGGGTGGGGACGGCCAGGCCTGAAGGTCCTGCCCCTAGACAGGGGTGACCAGTACCCCCTGCCCTCAGAAGCAAAATGAGACTCGGGCCACAGGGCAAGGGGTGGACCAAGGGCACAAAATGTGATCCTTTTATTTTCCATCACCTAGGAGGTAGCACTAGAGTCAGAGGCTGAATAACTTCCCCCAGGCCGCACAGCCTCAAGTCGTGGCCAGGGCCCTCCACACCCCACACCCCAGCGTGGCCAGGCCCCTAGGCCCCAGGAAGAGGGTGAAGGCTCCGTGGCCTGGGGGCAACTGATGTGAGCAGACGAGGGTGCCCCCACACGCCCTGGCCCAGGCTGGGCAGGGGACTTCCCAGAAGGAGGCCTGGGAGCCACACAGCACTCTTGACAGCACGGGGCTGAGGGGCCTGCCCTGGACACCCACGGTCATGCCAGCGTCGGGGCTCAGGCCTTGGGATGGGGTTCGCAGGCTGAGCCACCTGTGGAGGGGCCTTGGGCGGAGGCACAGCATCTCCCCAGCCCCGTGCCCACGGCAGGCAGGGAAAGAAGAAGCTCTGCAGCATGTGGGCCTTTCCACTCCCAGAGGGATCCGTCCAGACCACAGGGTGCCCCAGGGAAGTGGGCCTGCAGCTGGTGCAGTGACCCTGCCCGGGAATTGCCCTAAACAGACACTTGCACTCTGCCACCACCCCTGGTACCCCGAGACCTCCCAGCCTCTGAGAGCCGGGCAGATCCCCGCCCCTAAATCCATGCACATTCATCGCTCTGCTCCACAGTAAAGCTGGCTTGGCTTTTATATAAAAATAACAGTTTTCCCCAATTCTGGTGTGGAAAAACGTGCTGTGCTGAGGTGTGGCTTCTGCACCCTCCCTCCGCTCTGAGGGCTCCACTGGACAGGGCTTCGGGAGGGCAGGCAGCGGCTCCTGGGGTGCCGCGCGGGTCCCGGCCCAGTCTGCTCCCGCAGTCACTGGTGGAGGTAGGCGTCCAGCCAGGCGTTCCCGGACCTCTTCAGGGACCTGGGGAGGGCGGGGTCGGTGCTGGAGCACAAGGGGCCCCTCAGCTCGAGGTCCTGCGACCCTGAGTGCCCCACCCTAGGCGGGTGAGCACGGAGGGCAAGGGGTGCAGCCAGGCCGAGCCCCAGGTCCTAGCCGTCCCTGCACCGAGTTCTCTGTCACCTCTTTCCGCTGGGCTCAGAGACAGGACACGGAGCCCCCAGCGCCTGCTGCCTCAGCTGGTCACACCAGTGCAGGGAACGCTGTGCAAGGGCGCAAGGGAGGCTTCCCAGTCCCTGGGGACTGTCCTGTGCCCCCCCAGCCTGGGTGGCAGCCGGACCCTGGGCCCCATGCTTCCTGCTGCAGCACCCTCCCGTGTGCACCGGCAGTCAGAGCACCCCCGCTTGGCACAGCCCGCACAACACAGCCCGCCCAGCCCCGAGCCCTTGCCTGTTCCCACAGCCCGGGGCACTGCCACAGGCACCACCCTGGATGTCTGCTGTGTTTATTTGGCCAAAGCATTTCCTGTGTCTGCGGTAAGCCACACTGCTCAGGGGCTGCCCTGGAGCCCACCAGCCCCTGGGCATCCTAAGTGTCCCGTCCTCCACCCCCCCCCCCCCCCGCCCGTGCTGGCTCCTGGGGCCGAGGCCTTACCCAACAATGTCCGCCATGGCGGTGAGGAAGGGCTTGACCTCGTAGAGAAGGCCGTGCCTGGCACACAGCGCCTGGACCAGCGGCGCCACCCTGCGGTAGTTGTGCCTGGGCATCGTGGGGAAGAGGCTGTGGGGACAGGGTCACACAGGCTGCCGTCGCCCGGTGGGGCTGCCAGGGCCCTGCTCCTGCCACACCAGCCCCACTCACTGGTGCTCAATCTGGAAGTTCAGGTGCCCGCTGAACCAGTCGATGAAGGGCGACGGCTCCACGTTGCAGGTGGCCGCCAGCTGCCACACGCGGTGGGCACAGGTGAGGGGCGGCTCATGTCCACTCCACCCAGGGCCGCCCACCCGGGCCAGGGCCCACCCACCTGCAAGCTGACCCAGTCTCGGTGCTTCTCTTGGCCGATGTCCTTGGGGATGTGGTTCATCTGCGTGACCCACACGAACCAGTGGCTCTCCAGGACCCTGCGGAAGCCGGCGTCAGCCCCCCACCCCGGTCCCCGTGTGGGACCACCCCCCCATGGCAGCACTGCCGCCCTGGCCCCGACCTGTGCCTACCTGACGGCCACGTAGAGCAGCAGCGCCCCTTGGACTCCGTGGAAGGGGATGTAGGCCAGGAAGAAGCGGGCGTAGAAACTGGCGGCCCAGAGCAGGTCCTGTGGATGGTGGAGGCCCCGCTGAGCGGATGTTGGGCCGCTGGACCAGGCGCCCCCTCCCTGGTGAGCCGGGTCCCTGCTTGCAGCACGGAGGGACTGGGCCAGGACACTTGCTGCCCACTCACCGCCCACTGCAGGCACACGAGCATGTACACCAGGTTCTCCACCTCGAAGTTCACCAGGGTTAGCAGCGGGGGGCCGACTGCAGGAGGGGTGCAGATCGAGGAGGCTGGGCGAGGGGCGCTGTCCCCGACATGCACAGCATGCCAGTGCCCTCCCGAGGCCTGGTCCCTGTGACAGCAGGCAACCCTCGGCCGCCCAGTTCCTCCCTTGTCCGTTCTGTGGCAGGTCAAGGGTCAGGGGCCGGGGGTCAGGGTCAGCGTGACATACTCATCCCTGCTGGCCACAGTAGTGGCCCAGGGCTCCCAGCCTGATGTGAGGCCAGGGACGCTGCAGTGTGTGGGGCTGGGGAAGTGCAGGCTTGGGCACTGCCGGAGCCGGGCACTCACTGAGGAAGAAGTAGAGGTGCTGGTGGTTGTAGGGCAGGTATCTGCGCTTCTTCCGGCCGTACTGTGGAGACAGGTGGCTGTAGGTGCTGCGGCCCGGGGCGAGGGCGGCCTGCAGAGTGCAGAAAGACCCCCACCCACCTCCACAGAGGACTCCCCAAGCAGGAAGACGGGCGCCAGCGTCACGTCCGGGTCCTTGTGGAAGACGTTGGGCTTGGCGTGGTGCTGGAAGTGGCGGAAGTTCCACCAGTGGGCCGAGAAGCCCTGCGGAGGGGGGCGGGCGGTCAGGGCGGGCAGTCAGGGCTGGGCGGCACCCGCGGGCGCCCGTCCCTCACCTTCAGCTGCCCCATGACGAACTGCTGGGCCACGCGGTTCCACCGGGGCGTGGGGAAGACGGAGGCGTGGCCGAGGTCGTGCTGCAAACACCAGCTCTGAGCCTGCGAGAAGGGGGGGTCGGGCCAGGCGGGGACCCCAGGGCCCCTGGTGCACGGCTGCCTCTCCCCGCACGCACACAGACACACTCGGGCTCGGAACCACACCCCAGGCGAAGGCCTCACCCGCCCGGGCCTCCCTTTCTCCTCCTGGCAAGCAGCAGACACCAGAGCCCCAGGCAGCCCCGGGCCCCAGCTGGACGCCGCTCTCCGCTCCAGAGCTGGCCAGGCAGGGAAACCCCAAACACAGGTCTGGCCAGTCCCCGCCGGGCGCCCGCCCGCCACTCCCTGTCCAGCCACAGCCCTGCTCTCCCGGCTCCTACCCCGTGCTCAGGGTTTGGATGCCAACTTCCCTAGCGCAGGCCAAGCCCGGGGCTTTCACTGGCTCACTCCTCACCATTCACTCTGCACGTCCACCCCAGTGCCCACCTGCCTGGGCCCCACCCCGGGCAGTCCCGGGTCACCTGGGAGATGCCCAGGACGAGGGCGGCGAGCGTGCTGGGCACCCAGCCGGGGCCCAGGAGGTAGACGAGCAGCCAGGCCAGCAGCTCCATGGCCAGGATGTGGCCCAGCATGAGGGCGAAGAAGCCAGGGTCGGCCTCGAACAGGTGCATGTCCTTGGCTGTCTGGCATAGGGCTCGGAAGTCCTCGATGAGCCGGGCCTACGAGGCACAGGGGCCGTCACCGGGGACGAGAGGCGACTCCCGCCCCGGAGCCTCTGCCAGGCCTCACCACCTCCCTGCCCTGGTGTGGGGTGGTGAGGGACAGCGGGACACAGAACTCGCCCCCTACATCCCGCCAGCAGCCCCTCACGTTCTGAGGTCCGTCCTGGCCAGGCTCCTCCGGGGCCAGCTCTCCGATCAGTAGGGGCCGCAGGAACTTCCGCACGAAGCTGAGGTCCTGGTGGAAGGCGTGGAAGGCTTCCTGGAGGACGGAGAGCAGATGACCAGGGGACAGGCAGGCAGCTGGCGACACACAGCAGGTCAGCGGGTGCCCAGCAGAGGTGCATGGGGCCTCGCCGGCCCCTGGATACCTCATTGTACCTCCCCGCACAGGGGCCCAGTGCACACAGTCTGGGTTTCCTGGGAGACCAGAAGGCCCGTTCCTTCTGAGAGCATGCTGAGCTCCCCCAGGGATCTGCATCACCCTCCTTCCTGCCAAGCTCCAAGCAGGACTGGCTCCAGGGCCCCTGCTACCAAGGTCCATGGAGACCCCACGAGAGTTCTCAGGGACCCTGAAGGGTCCACCTCATTGGGTTTAAAAGTAGGAGCAGTAAACCAGGCATGGTAGCACGTGCTTGTAATCCGAGCACTTGGGAGGCTGAGGCAGGAGGATCGCCGAGAGTTCGAGGCCAGCCTGGGCTATATAGTGAGTCCAGGGCCAGCCTAAACTGCAAAGGGAGACCCTGCCTCAAAAACACCAAAAAAAAAAAAAAAAAAAAGTAGGAGCAGAGATAGGGTGGAGTCAGGGGAGGTGAAGTAAAAACTCCCTACGATGAATGGGATTTATTAGCTGCAAATGCATGCTAATAAAAATTAAAATTAAAAAATAGGAGCAGACTGCTGGGATGATGGCCCAGAGCTGTAATCCCAGCTACTTGGGAGGCTGAGGCAGAAGGGTCATAGGCATGAGGCTGTCCTGAGCAACTTAGCGAGACCCTGTCTCAAAAGAAAAACAAAAAAAGTAGGAGCATAAAATAGATGTATTTTTGGAGACAGGTTCTCGCTAAATTGCTGAATTGCCCAGCCAGAGTTCCAGATTGTGATCCTCCTGCCTCAGCCTCCCAGTGTGCTGGAATTACAGGTGTGTGCCAGCACACTTGGTGTGAAGCATAAATTTTTAAAGGTAAAACTATACACTGCCTGTGTTCATTCCAGCACTGTGATTCTGTGTAACAGCTGGGTGTGAGGGTGCAGAACAGGAGGAGGAATAAAAAAGAGGAGTTGGAGGAAAAAACATGGGGAGCCATTCTACATAAATTTTTTTGGAAATCATTTCATAATCAAAGTATGTCTATAGCCGTCTAAGCCCATGTCTCCTTGCCGGAGAGCCGGCTGTGGCATGCGGAAATACAACTCCTTTGGCCTCCGGTCACCCGCGGAGGCCTCGATGGCCCCCTGATGGCCCCTGACGGCCCCCTGTGACGCTTAAGGGTGAGATTACATGAGCTGAAGACATCGAGAGAACCCAGCAGCAGGAGAGGATTCACCTGGGGAGGGAGGCGTTCCTTATCAGCTGAGCTCATCCCACCTACTGTCCCGGGAGTGCCCTCCTTTCAGCCGGCAGCAGCGTGAGATTCACATCGACATGGGATCACCACCACCCTCGTCACCCGATGCTCCCTCCAATTACTGTGCCCAACAAATGCTGGCCATGCCGAGGCACTGACCTCCTGCCCACATACTTTGAGATGATGCAAGTCTCTACTGTCTTCTTTCTTTAGCCCTCCCTGTCCCCCTCAAGTCAGTGGATCCATCGCCCTCCCATAAAAAAGAGAACAGGAAGCTGGGGACAGAGCCCCAGGAGGCGGCAGCACCCAGGGAGGGGACGCAAACTCCCCGGCTCCATGCAGCCGTCCCCTACTTGGCTTTAGGAGATCGAAATCCACGGTGCACATTCGTGTTTAAACAAATGTATTGTGGTAGGGGAAGCACTGCCGCGGACTCCCCTCAAAGTGCCCCCTCGCTTTGAACACCGCTTTGTCCTGGCCATGCTCTGCGGCAGCTCTGGAGTCCTCTTTCCTGAGTGTCTTACAAAAGTGTGGTGACTGCCGCCGCCAAGTGGCATCGAGCGGAAAGGCAGCTCCTATGCCCTGCCCCTGTGTACCTCATTCACCGAGTCTGGACTGGGTGACTTCCGGCTCCACCCAGAGTCAGAATGACCATGAAAAGGAAGCGTTTTCAGTCGATGCAGGATGTCCATGCAGCCAGAACAGTGAAGTTAAGACCCAAAAGAGGCCTCTAGCCAGGCGTCATGGCACAGGCCTGTCTGTAATCCCAGCACTCGGGAGGCTGAGGCAGGAGGATCCCCTTGAGTTTGAAGCCAGCCTGGGATACACAGTGAGACTCTGTCTCAAAAAAACAAAAAAAAAAGAAACAAAAAAAGAAAGAGAGAGAGAGAGAAAGGACTCCAGAGCTGCTGCAGAAAGTGGCCAGGATGATGGGATGAGTGTGTTCAAGTGAGGGGAGGATTTTTTTTTCCTGGTGCCGGGGATTGAACTCGGGTCCTTGAACTTGCGCAGCAGGCGGCGAAACCACTGAGCTAAATCCCCGGGAGGGGAGAATTTTGAAGGGATTCACTGCAGTGTCTTTTACTGTGGTACATTTTTAAGCCTAAGCATTCACCGTATTTTGCTCTCATTCTGTCTACCTGGGTTGTTCCTGTGTGCAGCTCTTCGGCTGGTTCTGTCCTTATGGTCTCAGGAGCTCCTTCCAAGGCCCAGGGCCTGCATGGTGCTGTCTCCAAGGGCTTGGGACAGGTGCCACAGGGCCTGCTCTGGACAGGACACCTGCGGTCCCCTCGCTAACAAGCCGAGCCCCACATTGGAGCAAGCACCTTGCTGACGGGTCCTGGCCAGGCCGGGAGCAGGCTGCACATGGGTGTGTCCACACAGCACTCGGCACACAAGTGTGGACAGCTACTGAATGGTGATTAGAACTTAAGTGCTTGACAGTCACAGAGGCTGCAGCCGCGGGATGTGGGGAAGGAGCCCTCGCCTGCTGCCCACTGTCTCACTGCCCCGGGCAGCCCTGGGAACAGCCCAGCCTGGCTGTGCTCCCCGTTATAGGGCTGGGCCTCGGGAGATGGGCTGGGCAGAGGTTGGGGGCCACAGGAAGCTGCCTGGCCCTGCTTTCCGGGGAGCCTGAGGAGGGCGGGGAGCCAGGGTGCTTCTGGGGCTCATTGACCCACTCCCTGTGCAGCCTGGAGCTGGCCCATCACCTCCTGAGATGCCTGGGCTGGGGCTGAGTTTGTGGTTCTCCTGCCTCAGCCTCCCAGAGTGCTGGGTAAACCGAGGTGGCCAGGCTGCAGGGCCCTTCTGGCTCCGGGCTGCTGAGCATTCGCTTTCTTTATGAAACTCTTTGTTACGGTAAAGGACACATAAAGTAACCATGTCCAGTGTCCTGTGCAGTGGCGCTGAGGACGATGCTGTCCACCCCCGGGGCCGTACACTGCGCCATTCAGCGCCAGGCCCCAGCCCACAGCCACCAGCCCATTCCCACTCGGTCCCCAAGAATCTGCAGGCTCCAGGCCCAGGTGAGTGGAGCCAGCACGTCGCCCTGGGTGCGGCTGGGCTCCTGAGCAGTGTCCCCAGGGCTGCCTCCCCTCCCCAGGCTGAGCCTGAGGTGCCGGGTGGAAGTGACGCTGGCACCGAGTGAGTGCGCAGAGCCCGGCGCCCACTGGCACAGGGGGAGTCACGCCCGGCAGGACATGCGAACAGAGCGGGTGCCAGGGTCTCCCCTCCGCCCACCCAGGGACCGAAGCCCAGGGCTGCAGCCAGCGGGGAGGCGACAGCCACCCTGCCCCGTCTATGCCGTCAGCAATTCAGGCGTCGCCTCCCCGGCCCCTGGGAGTCCCCTCAGTTAATGCCTGACAGACCTGCATCCTGAGTCTGCAGCCGTGTTATCTTTACTGCCTTGCAGACAGGATGCCTGTGTGAATCTGCAAGCACGGCACCTTTACTGCCTGGTGAACAGTGACATTTTGTTTACTGAGCTGCAGGAACTGCCCCGACCCCACGCTTAGCAAAGCTCGGCTCCTGTGCTAGTGCTCCCCGAACCCATCCCCCAATGGGAGGAGCCGTGCAAGGACCCGGTAGGCGGCCTTCCCTTTGGCCGAGTCAGTCTCCACCAGGCGGCTTATAATTCGGACTCACTTAACTCGGAGTTGGGGCGGCTCTGTCATTCCCACTCGCCCGGCCCTACAACAGGAAGGTGGCGCCAGGACAGCTGGGCCTGCACCGGGCGGGCAGCTGGCAGCTTGCACCTCCGGGCTCCAGACTCCAACCCCAGCAACGGGCCTGGCCCCCAGGGCGTGTGACCGGCCCTCTCCAGGTCTCTGCTGGAGGACCCAGGGCCAGGACTCAGCGAGGTCAGCACTCACTCGAGGGACAGGGCCGTGTGCCAAGCCGCTGTGCTGTCCCTGCAGGGTCTCCAACTGAGGTGGGGGAGGCCGGTCACTGCGCCAGGCAGCCAGGACTCACCTGGCCCCCTGGAACCGGTCAAGGTAGCACTCGAAGTCCTGGGCCGAGTTTGGCGCCCCCAGACCCCTGTGGGCTCCACCTGTGGCCAGGTGCCCACGCTCCCCAGCCTAAGGGAGAGGAGGCACGTCTGTCCCTCCATGCGCTCGGGACTCACCTCCCCCTACCTGGGCCCCTGGGACCTGGGGTGCATCCTGCCCACCCCAGGTCCAGACAGACAGCAGCAGGGACCAGCAACGCCCCTGGTGCTGCGGACTGGTCCTGGCCGGAACTGCACTGGGTAGGTGGAGAGTGCTGCCCGCAACGTGGTCCAGGTGTCCCCGCCACGGGAGCATGGCCAGTGCAGGGTGTCCGTCAGGTCGAGCCCAGCCCATGCTGAGGGCGGGGCAGGGTGAGCAGCACCTTCCACCCCACAGGCTTCCCAGACACCTGGGGCAGGAAGGGTCGCAGGGTAGAGTGGCCAGGACTCCAAGGATGTCCTGGAGGTTCCTGCTGGCTTGCTGTGCCAGGCCAGGAGGGTCAGCAGGAGCCAGAGGCTGTGGGAGCAGAACCTCCGCTCCACAGATGGGGAGGCCAGGACAGGAAGCCCTTTGCCTGGCACTCCCGACCCAGCCAAGGGTGGGCATGCAGCCCACCTCCTCCTCCTCCTGCCCCAGGGGCCTCAAAGTGGCCAGACTCCCCTGCAACCTGTGGTCCCCGCCGCACGTGCCCAGCTGTCTGCCCAGGGGCCTCAGGAGGGAGTCAGTAAGGCGCCTGCACCCTGCACACCGCTGTCCTGCCCAGGCCCGGCCCCTCCTGGGCAGTCGGCATGGGTCCCGGGGTCCGGCCCCTGCGCCCTGCCAAGCTGGGGTGGAAGGGCCCACTGTGTCTCGGCCATGTCTCGCACTCCTGCAGGAAGCTTTCCCGGCCAGGAGCAGGCTGGCTGCGGGGCCGACGGAGACCTGAGTCACAGTCAGCTGGGGCCTCGGCACAGTGGACAGCAGCTGCGGGTGACACTGCCAGCACCGGCTCAGCTCAGGCCGGGGATTGAAGCAGGGGCTCAGAAGGCCCAGGCCTGCAGGGCACCGGGCAGCGCACTGTGCCTCCCAGAGCCCAGGCTGCCATTCGGGCAGCTGCTCTGCCTCCCGAGCCTCAGCCACCTCACCTGCGACGTGGGGATGACTGGGCGGTTGGGGCGAGGCTGGCGACCGCCCAGAGGCCTCCTTACGCCCTGCTGCTGAGGGCGAGGCCGCTGACCCGCCCCTCGCTCCCTTGATCCCTCGCTCTGGGTGGCCCCACCCCCTGCGCTCTCAGGCCGATCCTGGCAGGGGCCACAGCTCCTGTCCGCTGAAGTCCCCCGAAGGCCCGGCTTGGCCTTTCCTTTCGCTTCCGCCTCGTGGTCCTGCGGGAGAGTGGCTGGTGGTCCCTCCTGGGCTTGTCCTGAACCAACCTGCCTGCCCCGGCTCTGCTTTTGTTTTTCCCTGACAATGACAGGCTCTCCATGTGGGCCCGGCACCCTCAGGCTCAGCCCATGGCCCAGGCGCTGGCCCACAGCGGCCTCACCCCTGGGTGGCTCTGCCAGTCCCCTGGCGCTGGTGACGCTGGACAAACCTGGCCAGGGCCCAGCGGTCACTCCCCGCGGCTCCGGGCCGTGTCCCAGGACACCCGGGCTGACTCGGCCCACAGGAACTCTGGGAATTTCCTGGCAGGCGGCTCTGGGCCTGGATTCCCAGGCTCCGGGGCTGTGATGGCAGCGGTGTCCAGGCAGCCCGACCCTGAGTGCGTGCTGGGTGCAGTGGACAGAGACGGCGTCCACCCAGCCCCTTGGCTGCGGCCTGGGCACAACAGGTGCTTCCCTCAAGCCCAGCCCAGTGTGCGGAGCCCTGGGGAACTGCTGCCTGCAGCAATCCCTCCTGCTCCAGTGCATGCGGCGGGGGCCAGGCCGGCTGCCCGCTGCACTCCAGTCTGCGGGGTGCACTGTGGGAGCCGGGGACTGCCCCTGGGCCAGCGTGGACACTCCCCTCCATGGGGCTGCTCCCCCTTTACAAATAAGGAAATTGAGGCTCAGAGGCATGCCGAGCCGGGGTCAAGGTCCTCAGCCTGCAAGGTCAGAGCAGGGTCCGGCCCCAGGGAGCAGGTTTCACGTCCACGGGTGTGAAGCACCGGGGAGCCCATCACTTGGTGCTCCTGGGCCTGGAGCTAGGGGAGGCACTGGGGACGGGAGGGGCCCAGCACGGGCGGGCTCCGGAGGAAGGCGTGATTCACAGGCCAGCTCCTCGGCCCTTCCTGCTCCTGCCCCCAGCTGGCCACCCAAACGGGCTGCCAGGGACCGGGCCCTGCCCTGCAGAGTGGCGCACCCCCCGTCCCAGCCACTTGCGGGCACAGTGGGGCCTGCACGTGAGCAGCCGCCTGGCCCTCGGGCTGCCGCAACCCAGGGCGGTGCTGTCCCCGGCCAGCGCTGGCCCCAGGCTGTCTACACTAGGCTTCAGGATCCTGCTCGCTGTAATCTCTGGTCCCGGCTGGACCGGGGCAGCAAAGGGTGGGACCCAGGGTAGGGCAGGGTTTCCCACACGCTCTGGAGCCCTTCCCGGAGCTCTGGGGGGTCGAGGACAGAGCAGCAGGCCCAGCCCCTGCTGTCCAGGTGACAGCTGAGCAGAGAGGCCGTCCCCTCCCTGGGGCTGCTCCATGCTGGGCTCGGGCAGCCAGGCCTCTATTCGGCCCGCCTGGTGGGGAAGTGGGCTAGCCTGCCCCTGGGCACCCCGCCGGGCTGGCAAAGGCCTGGGGCAGCAGAGGTGAGTCACCGGCCTGGCCGGCTCAGCCACAGACCTCCGTGGTGCTGCCCAGCCCCCGCCGGATGGCGGGCGCCCCTGTGACCAGCGGCTCATCCCTTGCCCAGCGGGACAGAAACCCAGATGCAAGGGAGGGCACTCACCTGCCCCGCGCAGCCACCGCTGGGGTCCCGGGGCTACCGCCGCCCCCTGTCGTCCCTGGCCGGCTGAGAGAAGCTCCAGCCGCCGCCCCCGCCCCCCCCCCAGGAACGGGAATTGGGGTGGCGCCGGAGCTCTGCGCCCTGGGACGCAGCCGCCCGTGGACCCCATCCAAAGCGCCTAGGGCAGAGAAGGTGAGCCGCGCGGGTGCCAGAAGCACCCCCCCCCCCCCCCCCCCGCCCCAGCAAGCCCTTACCGTGGCGTCCTCTGCTCCATGGTGGCCGATGAGGCGGCTGCCGCCCGGGTGTCGCTGCGCCCACTGGCTGATGTCGTAGACGCGGCGCTCAATGACCAGCCACTTGTCGCCCGGCAGGTTGTGCGCTCGGATCTGCTCCCAGCGGAGGGTGGGCAGCAGCGCCCCCCGCTCCCCGCCGGGCTCCCCGACGCCACCCATGGCCGCACGCAGTCCCGCCAGGCACCCGGTCCCCACAGCAGGTCGCCAGGGGCTGCCGAGCAGCCGGCGTGAACGCGCCTCCGCGGGCCAGTTCCCGCCTTCTGCCGCGCCCGCCGCGCCCCATTGGCCGCCGTGTGCCCCTCCCGCTGCCCCTGCCTGCAGCCCCCAGCCCGGGCCCCCGGCTCGGTTCGCCCTCAGAGGAGGGTGGGGACAGCGCAGACCGCCCCAGGGCGCACGCAGATCGGGTTTGGCGAGGTCCCTGGGACGGCCAGGGCCCGGGGCTTCCAACTGGGCGCCTGGAGGTGGAGACCGACCTGGGGGTGACTGCGAGGCCCTGAACGCCCGCGGCCCCATCTTCCTCAGGGATGGGGATGGGGGCTGTGCGAAAGAGAGGGGCGGAGGTGCCGAGCCCAGGGGTGCGAGGGCCGCACTGGGGGCGGAGCGTGAGGCTGGGAGCCTGCAGGGCCCTGCGTGCTGGGAGCGCTCTTCCCAGGGAGTGGAGCGCCCCCGCCCCCAGCCCAGCCCCGCTGCGAGGTGGGTGGGGCCCCACGGCTCTGTCGGGGCGGGGAAGGGCCTTTGGACTGGGACCCAGGCCGTGCTGCGGGGCGCCGGTGAGGACCGGAGCATCTGATCCCCTGCCTTTCGTCTTGCTGGAATAATGTGCAGGGCGCCGCGCTCACCGCGCACCGATCCGATCCAGCTGGCCCGGGCCCGGGACGCCAAGCCCGGCTCTGAAGGGCGCGGCGCTCGTGTGACCCGCGCAGTGCGCCCCTGCGCTTTGATCTCACCTGGGGACCCATGGGGCTGCCGTGCGGCCTCACACTGCGCGGCTGGGGACGGCCGCTCCCTGCGGTGTTGGGTGGACGCAGCGTCGCAGGCCGACCAGGCTGACCGCACGAGGCGGGGGCGTCACCCTCACCGCTTCCCTCTCCGGCTCAGGCAGGCGGAGCTGCCAGGGCTGCTCTCTGGAATTTTCTGGAATGTTTTCCCGAGTACGTCTCACCGGCAGCTGGTTGAATTGCAGGCGCAGGACGGAGGCCCGGACGGAGGCCCGGGAGATAATCCAAGGACAAGGCCTGGCCACGCTCCCCTGCTCCTCACGCGTGACGGGCGTGGGCCCTCCTGTGCAGCCGGCAACTTCCCGCTCACTCCCTGTGGGCCCCGGGCCGGTCCCAGGCAGCCTCGCAGCTTCCGGAGGCCTGGGAGCAGGGACACCAGGACTCCACGGCTGCACTGCAGGTCGCAGCAGCCCGGCCTCCAGGGTGGGGACGGCCAGCTGTGGGGCCTGGCGTGAGGCCTGGGGAGCCCTGAGCGTCCCCGCTGCTCGCTCCCTGCCTTGAGCCGCCACATGGGCCTCCTGCGGGGCACAGTGACGTCGCCATCCCCAGGTAGGCCCCAGAGCCATGGGATGTTGGTGCAGTGACAGCGGGGACCGAGCCCCAAGCCCAGCAGGGAGGCTGCCAGGGTGACAAACGGCGGAGGGGAGGGCGCTTGAGTGCCAGCGGGAAGCAGGGAGGCGTGGGCTTTACGCACCTGAGCGCAGGTGGGCTGAGGGAGAGGCCAGCAGCACCAGGCACAACCAGGGGCGTTTGGGGCGGCGGGTCTTGCTGAGGGCTGCAGCCTTCAACAGCACATTCATTACGCATTTCACAGCCAGATCGGGCCTGACAACCGGTACACGTGCACATGTGTCATGCCAGCTACTCGGGAGGCTGAGGCAGGTGGAATGCAAGTCTGAGGCCAGCCTGGGCAATTTAATGAGAACTTGTCTCAAAATAAAAAGGGCTAGGCTGCAGCTCAGTGGCAGAGCCACCCTGGGTTGAATCTTCCGTCCCGGGGTGGGGGGCATAGGGGGAGCAAGCCCAGGCCTTCCCAGTAGCACACGCGTGAGACCCAGTGCACGGAGCTAGGCTCGCACAGCAGGGGACACGGGGCCAGAGCCTGTGCTCTGCATGGGGAGGGAGGATGGTGCAGCCTCCCTGGGAAGGTGGGTGCCCAGGGGACACGCGCCGTCCAGCCAGGCCCGAGCACAGGCTGCGTTCCGCTCACAGGGAGGCAGCCGGGTGCTGAGGCCATGTCTAGACATCCTCCAAAGCCTCCCGCTTGCTTCCTCAGATGCCCAGATCGTGAGTGACTGACCCACGGTCCAGGGCTAGGCCCGAGGGCACTGGGATTAAGGGCGTGAGTGCTGCCCGCCCTAGCCCTGAGTAGTCTATGACCAAAGGGGCTGTTAGGGTCCCTCCTGCTCCTGCTACCTTGGGGGTGCCATGGACCTTTTCTTCTCTGCAGTGCTCTTCTGCCATGTGCCACCCTGCCTTGGAGCCAGCTGACTCCGAACTGTGAGCTAAATAGACTCACAGGTGGATCAACAAAGCATGGCATGGAGGTGGAGTACTACTCAGCCTGGAAGAGGGAGCCAGGATGTGGACACACTGCAGACATGCCACGTGACGTGTCTTGACTCACAGAAGCAGGAAGCGGGACAGGGTCACAGGGCAGAGTGGGGGGAGACAGACTTATTTACGTGAATAAATTTCACTTGTGTTTTTTTGGTACTGGGGATCGAACTCAGGACCCTGAGCTTGCAAGGCAGGCGGGGGCACCACTGCACTAAACCCCCGGCCAACGAATTTCACTTTTGAGACCAAAGGTTCTGCACACCTGCTTCACACCCGAGCAAACACACCTAACACAGCTCACACTCCGGTGGTGGACGGCTGGGTGGGGCAAACGCGCTGGAGGACCCAGTTACTTGGGTGCTGATGGGGGGCTCACTTAACCCCATCTCAAAAATAAAAGATGGTAAACTCTCGGGGGGGGGTTAACAATTAAAAAACAAAAAAAATTTTTTTTTTTTTTTTTTGGTTTTTTTTTTTTTGCTTTTTTGGTGCCAGGGATCAACTCGGGTCCTTGAGGTTGCACAGCAGGCGGTGAAACCACTGAGCTAAATCCCCGGCCCTAAAAAACAAAAATTTAAAAAGAAGTTTAGTTGTTTAAAATTTCGAAAGCTATCTAATGCAATCTTCCCAACTGCAGGATGAGAGCTAGGCCTCTGGTGTTGTGGTCCATGCGGGCAATACCAGCACTCAAGAGGCTGAGGCAGGAGGATTGCCATGAGTTTGAGGTCAGCCTGGGCTACACAAGAGACCCTGACTCAAAACAAAAGAAAGCAAGCTAGGCCCAGAGAGGAGTGAGGGGCCGGGAAGGTCTTTGGGGTGACGGGTCAGGGGACACATGACACCCTGGACTTGGTACCAGCTGTGGCCTGGAGTCCCCAGGGACATGGTGGTGAGCCTGGGCAGTGGCCACCTCGGGGCGGGGAGGGGGCTCACGACCCTGGAAGGGACGGCCTGGCTGGAAGGGCCCTGAGGCCGCCTACAGACCTTCCCTGGGAGGACCCACAGGTCCCAAGCCTGGCCGGGACCCCAGGGCCCCACACTGTCTGGCCTCCAATGCCAGCCGCCTGCCCGGACCCCAGAGCCCTACAGGGGATGGAGTGCCCCGGCGCAGCACATACGTGTGGCAGGAGGTTTCGTTCAGGATTTGGGGTAATCCCAAGCACGAGGTGGGCAGGGGAGGATTTGGTTTCATTCCCACAGATGCCCAGAGGCCTGGCCGGAGCCCAGAGTGCCACCAACAGGCCAAGCCCCACCAACAAAGCCTCCTTTATTAAACAGAGACGGAGCTGCATTCCAGCCAGGAGGGGCACGGGCGTGGTGGGGTGTCCAGTGTGCAGACCCCGGGATCTGCAGCAGAGCTGTGGGCGGGCACCCAGGTCCCACCTGTGCCCACTCAGAGAGAAGAGCCCATCCCCATCCCGGCAGTGGGGCTTCGGGGTGTGGTGGGAGGAGGGGTGGTGCTCGCTGGGGGGCTCCCCACTGCGTGTGGTGCAGGGTGGGGGAGGCCCACGCCCTCCTAGCCTGCTGCCCTTGGGGCAGAAAGGCAGGGGCCCGGGGCTGGCCCAGTATGGAGGGGGTGCTGGGGCAGGGGCTGAGGATGCCTTGGAGGTCTGGCTGCCCCAGAACTGTCCTTCCCAGAAGACTTGGCTGCCACAGGGCAAGGGGAGGCAGCGGCCCGGAGGATGTGCCCTGCCCAGGGTCCCCTCCCAGGAGCCCCGTGCTTCGGTCCATGGTGCTCTCTGGAGATGCACCTGTGCACTGCCTGGCGGGGTGTGGAAGGCTCAGCTCGGAGCTCCAGGGCCGCCTGTCCTTGCGTCCATCCAGGGTGGGCGTTGGTCCCTCCTTGCAGCTGTGGCTCAGGGCTAGCTGCCCTGAGGCAGGTGCTGCTCCAGGCCGGCTGCGCCCTAGGCCTCCTGGGGGAAGAAGCCCAGCTTGGCCAGCGACATCTCCTTCCGCAGCCTTGTGACCTCCCAGAACATCGGTTCCACTGCAGGCAGGGACAAGGAAGCTCGGGGTCCCCGGAAGGCCTGGTCCTCCCTGCTGTGCCCCACCCCCACAGCGATGGCGGGGACCCCCACCCCACCGCAGCATGCAGCCCAGAAAGCCAGGCCAGCAGCGGGCTTGGCCTCTGCTCTGCTCTCCCAGGGCCACCCATGCGCCACCAGGGGGCGCTCACCATCCTGCCGCACCAGGCCCTGCTGGATGTAGCGGATGTAGGTGAAGAAGTTGCACACCGCCGTAATCTGGGGTAGAAGGGGACGAGTGACCCGCCGGACCCCACTCCTGGGCTCTGGAGGCCAGTGTGGGCCTGACAGCGGGCAGGATGCCCACGGCCCGACTTGGACAGGGCTGGGCTGCGGGCTGTGCCGATCAGCAGCAAGGCCAGGCTGTGCCTGACCGTGAGACCTGGGCTGGCTCCCACAGCTCACGAGGCCCTGACAGCAGTGGCTGAGGGGTCCCCGCTCCCCGCCCCACACTGGGTGCTGAGGGCCAGAACAGGGAGCACGCCACTCCCCCTGCGGCTGCAGACCTTGGCTGGGCGGCCCTCAGGCCTGGGAGGGGGACGACTCAGGGACCAAGGGCCGAGCGCTGAGGAGAACGTGCAGGGTCCCTCCCCATGCACACCAGGCCGGTCCTCCAGCTCTGCCCAGCACGACCGGAAGCCGGTCAGGAGGAACAGGAGGTGGCGCGGGGCCCAGCTGGGAGAGAAGAGGAGGAAGGGCCCTGCGGCCACCGAGCAGGCCGGGGTCCAGACAGGCCCCGTGTCCTGCGCACAGCTCCTCGGCCGAGGTACAGCCTCGTGGAAGAACTCGCAGGCACGGACAGCAGCCTACAGCTGAGGGGTCTTCTGAAGAGCCCAGGCCGGGGCACACTGTCCTGCCCCAGGCGGCACTGCAGGGCCGGGGAGCAGCTCACATTGTCACTGCCCGTGTTTCCAAACAGGCTTCTGCTCCTCCACTTCCTCTCCCCTCCCTGAGGCCAGGCCCGGCCTCGGGCCCAGAGCAGCCTCGGGCAGAAGCCAGTTCCCACCGCCACGACAGTGTGCAGGCCTGGGAGCCCACCATGTTCAGTCCCACCCACAGCTCGGACGAGGACAGCTGCCCAGCCCACTCCCGACCCAAGGCGCATCCTGAAACCCGGGCGAGCTGGAGCTGCCCATGGGGCCGAAGGTGCCTGGCCTGCAGGACCCCCGTCCTCCAGCTTAGGCTGAATCCTGCCAGCCGCTCGTGTCCGTGGAAAGGATGGACTCGGGGAGGAGCAGCACTGAGCCATGGCTGTGGCCCTGCAAGTCCCTGGGGCGTGGACGCAGGGCAGGCTGGGCTCCCGGCCCAGCAAAGGGAGGCAGGAGTGTGGGCTGGAGCTGCACCCCAGCCTCTGCCCTCTCTGAGCCTGTGCCTTGCAGGTCTGTAGGCCCGGCTGGCACCCCGGGGTCCTCCTGGCGGCCCGAGGAGGCAGGAGACTCACCCTGGCCCGGGAGGACGGTGAGATGCAGTAGTGGCTCTCGGAGTCCCCCAGCCGGATGCGGTGGCGGCAAGTTCTGCTCAGCCCGCTCAGGGCGCACGTGCTGAGGACAGAGGGGCGTCCAGACCCGGGCACCCGCTCCAAGGCCCCGGCTCCGCAGGCCCGTCCCCTCCTGGGAAGAGTGCCTAACAGCCTCATGCTGCTGCCAGCGCATCAAGGCTGCAGCCCCTGGAGATGTCCCTGCCGCTAACAGGGCCTCGGAGCCGTCACCCCAACCCCGCCACAGGCAGCCCTCCTGCTCCCCTGGGCCTCTTCCTGTGAGCCCCCGAGCCCGGGCCTGGGCGACCCACCCCGGCTGACCCCACTCACGTCCACAGCCCCGCTGAGCCTCCCAGCCCAGCTGCCCCTTGTCCCTTGGGCCCCCGGCAAGCTCCTGCCGTCCCCTGCATCCCCAGCCGCGCTCTGGTTCTTCTCCCAGTTCCAGCCCTGCTGCTCCAAACCCCAAAGCCACCCTTTCCCAGCGGCCTCCCTACTGCCTAGGAAACAGCCACAGAGCCCAAGCCTGGGGAAAGCACCCAGGCCGCAGGACCCAGGAGGATGCTTGCTGTCCTCCTGGCTGTGACGCTGAGTGGACGGGGCGCCCGGTGACGACAGGAACACCCGCCCCGCAGGGTGAGCCCGTGGCTGCCGCACGCTGCACACTTGGGCTCCAAAGCCGAGGTGGCCCCCAGTCCTGCGGAGGCCGGCAGCTGTCCCTGTCCCTGTCCTGCCGGGTCCCCTGGGCGGGAGGGCCGGGCACGCTCACCTGGTGCGGACACACTCCGTGGCGGGCCTTGTGCCGGGCTGCGAGTGTGAGGCCACGGGCTCGATGGTGAGCGTGTTGTCCTCCACGGCGCCCCGCACCAGCGCTGAGAGCTGCGGCAGCAGACGGTGAGTGAGCGGGCGGCGGGCGCTGGGCGCTGGACCTCGGCTGCCTGCCTGCCGCCCGCTCACCTCGCGCATGGCGAAGTCCAGGCAGGGGCCCACGTCCTCGCGGTGCACCCTGTCCAAGAAGGGGCAGGCCTTGTCCAGCGTGGGCGCCGCCCGCCAGGCCTGGAACTCTGCGAACAGCGTGGAGTCCACCTGGGGGCAGCAGCAGGTGGGGGGTCAGGGACCCGGGGCGCTGGGGCCCAGCGGTGGGCAGGCGGCCACATCCGGGAGAGGCACTGAGCTCGTGCCACATGTTTGCAGTTACTCGGCCCTAAAGGGTCCCAGAGCAGGTGCAGGGCCCGTTCAGGCCGCTCAGCACCTCCATGTGGGCACCCACAGGGGCTGGCCAGTCCCACTGCACACAGGGCACGCTAGGCAGCAGCCTCCGAGCAGTTACCTGCCAGGCAAGGGAGAGGCAGGTGGCGGAGGTGGCAGGCGTGGGCCCCCACGTGGGGGCGGCCAGGCCAGCTTGAAGGTGAGGTGGGCGGCCTTGTGGGGAGCACGCAGAGGAGCAGGGAGGGGAAGGGGCAAGGCTGGGTCGGGCCGGAGGGCAGACCAATGGCCAGACAGAGAGCGCACAGAGACAGCAGGAGGCAGAAGGTGTCAGTGTCCAGGCCGGGCTCCGGGGATAGACGAGGACGGGAGGGTGGGCTGCAGCTCTGACACAGCTGTGTCCCCACAGCTCCTCCCGCGGCCCCAGAGGCCCATTCAGCGGAGGAGACAGGCTAGTGGGCAGCCTCCTCCGCACACGGGCCTGGCCGGGCATGAGGGAGATGTCTTTCGGGGACAAGTGGCCCCAGGACGCTGCCACAGGGGTCTCACGGCCGTGGACACACCTGGAGCCAGTCCAAGAGGCCTGTCCCTGAGGGCCCTGCCCAGCCCAGGGCAACAGGGTGCTCTGTGTCCCCACAAAGGCCTGGGGCCCAGAGCCAGCTGGACGGGCTCCAGGCCGCACAGCAAAGGCCAGGCCCGCCAATGCTGGCACCTCACCTCCCTGCCCTCCTTGTCCTGCGGGAGGCCGTGTCCTGCAGCAGGGCACATGGCGCTGCTGGAGCTCTTGTGCCGCGAGTGTCCCTTGCGGGGCCCAGCCTTGGTCGGGCTCTGCAGCTGCGGGTGCAGCTCGTGGTTGGGGGAGGCTGGCGTGGATGTGATAACCAGGGTCTTCAGGGCGGTCACCTCCGCCTGGAGCATGTCGATCTGCAGAGGGGACACGACCCCATGTGCAGCGAGGGAGGCCGAGCCCCCCGGGGGAGGTGGCCCATGGAGGCCACGCTGGCAGCAGGAGCCCTGAGCGTCTGGCCCAGAAGAACCAGCCAGCACCTGGGGGCTGGAGCCAGGCCAGAGGCTGCTTTCAAAGTGACAGGACAAAGCCACCACAGTGCCCCCGCCCGCCCCGGCCCCACCTGTCCCCACAAGGGTACAGCCAGCCTGGGAGCCTGGCCTGGGCCTCACCTTGCCCCGGGCCTCCTTCAGCTGCTTCTCTGAGGCCGCCTGCTTCACGTTGGCCTCTCGAACCATCTTGTGTGCCTCCTGGAAGAAGGCAGGGTCTGCTGAGCCGCCCACAGCCTGAGGACCCTGCCTCGCCCACTGCACCCTGCCTGCACCTCGAACAGGCTGGCCGTCAGCTCCTCCAGCTCCCGCTCCAGCTGCTCCCGCACGCGGCTCAGCCTCTCGCACTCTGCATCCTTCAGCTTCAGCTCCTGCACAGGGCAGGTGGGCGTCAGCCACCCGGGGCCTCGGCCTGGTGCCAGGCCTGGGGAAGCACTGCGGCCCCCGCCTGTGGCATGAGGGCACCCACCTGGAGACCCCGAGGTGGGGGCAGGCTGTGCTGAGTGCCCAGGGTCGAGCCCCTGCACTGGGGTGAAACACACAGAGCTGGCCTGTCTTGGGGACTCGGGGTGTCATCCCACACCCCTGCGCCCCCTGCCCCCATGGGACCCCACCTTCTGGGCTCTCCGCAGCTCCTCCCGAAGGAACTCTGCACCCTTCTCGCGGATCTCCATGGAGGAGCTGCGCAGGCGTGACACGTCCAGCGGGGTGGCGGCTGCAGCCTGGACCCCAGGGGGCTCCCCCTCCACAGTGGCCTGGGCAGGGGGCCCAGGGGCCTGCCAGTGGCCTCTGCTGGGGTCCACGCCCTTCCAGGGCCCTGGGACAGTGGAGAGGGGAGGCCGGAGGCCCTGGTCTGGCTGAGGCAGGCTGCAAGGCAAACAAGAACATCAGGCGGGGTCCCCAGGTGGGCGGGGCCTCGGCCCTGCAGACATGGCTGCCCCAGCCTCTGGCCTCCAACCACAGCACAGGGCCCTGCCAACTGTCACTGCTCTCACAGGGACAGTGATCAAGCCCGAGCCCCAGCTCCAGGCCTTGGGCAGCAGAGATTAGCACACTCCAGGCTGACAGATGGACTTTGGGAATACAACAGGGCTGTGATCCTAGCTCTCAGGAGGCTGAGGCAGAAGGATCACCTTTGAGTTTGACCCCATCCTGGGCTACATAGTGATTTCAAGGCCAGCCTGATCTACATAGTGAGACCCTGTCTCAAAAACACAAAAGAGGAGGAGGAGGCAGAGGACAAGAATCAGAGCCTCGGCTTTTCCACAGGGGGAGGACCCTGATGACGCCAGCCCCGAGGGCCGGGTGTGCACCCCACAGGAGAGCAGGAGCTGCTTCCCACAAGCTGAGCTAAGCCCAGTTCTGCAGGCTGATGGCTCAGCTAGTGGAAACCCTGCCCCTCTGGGTGGGCCAGAGGAAGCGGGAGGTGCCTGGCAGGAAGAGCCTGCCAGCGGCCCAGGAGGCGACCACTTCCGGCCTGGCCCGGGGAGGTCAGCCCCCTTCTCCAGGCCTCAGACACCCGCTCCCAGTGGGAGCGGCTCAGCAGAGCGGGGCCTGAGCCAGCACTGGGCAGCAGGGGGCGGAAGTGAGGGAACACATGGGCTGGGGGCTCCCCTCCTTGTCCTCGGGGCCCTCCAGGTGCTCCCTCTGCCCTGTGCAGACGGCTGGGTCTCCTGGACCTCCCTCCCCGGTGCACTGTGGTGGCCCTGCGGGGCAGGGTCTGCACCCAGGGCCCTCACGGGGGCGCCAAGTTCTCCCATTCGCCTTTACTTACTGGGGCACTGGGGACGGACTCAGGAGCCTTCATCCTGAGCTACACCCCAGCCCTTTCTGTTCGGCAACAGGGTCTCACCAAGTCGCTATGGACTCAACCTTGCGATCCTCCTGCCTCAGCTTCCCAGAGTGCTCAGTGCTTGTTTTCTCGTGGAAAACACTGTCCCTGTTACTCAGATAAGGGAAGGCGCTTGCCCTGGTCACCCAGGTGGTCGGGTCTGTGCTGAGGTGGCAGCCCTGTCCCCAGATGGGCCCACAGCGGTGGTCCGGGTTTGGGGGGCAGGGGATGGGGGTACCTGCCCCGGGTCTAGGCCTCGGGCCGGGATGGGAAGATCAGACCCAGCTCAGCCCACACTGGCCCCGCAGCCTCTGCTCAGCCCCAGGAAGCAGCCTGCTCCGGGGACCTCCGGGAAGTGAGCGTCCCGTCCATGGCTGCCTGGGGCGGAAACCCCCAAGGTGCCCCTTGCTGGCCAGGCCCAACCTTGCCACTCAGGTGGGAGATGGGTCACTGTCCCTCAGCCGGGGAGCCCGCCAAAGGTGGACCAGCAGGAACTTCGGGCGAGAGCAGGGTGGCCACAGGACAGCCATCCCCGAGGGCCCAGCCCTGGCATCCTGCTGAGGGGGACACCTGGATGCAGCCCTGGCCCGGCTGAAGACCAAGCCCATCCGCCCACCCCAGCTCTCTGGCCACGGCGAAGGCATGGGGGCCAGGCCGAGGTAGGCAGGGTGGCCCATCATCTCCCAGCAGCCCTCACTTCCGGCCCTGCGGGAGCCAGGATGGGACCCCACTCCGCATCAGTGTCTCTTGGTGACACCACCCCTCCTGGGGGAAGAGGAGGCATGGGGAGGGGACTCTCCACAGCCACCAGCTCCCCTGGGCTGGGCCGGGGCGGTGCAGGGGGAAGCGGGGGACTACAGTCTCAGACCCCAGAGGAAGGAGGGATGCCGGGTCCGGTGGGCTTGTCCCCAGGGCGGCCTGGGCTGTGTGGAGCTGTGGCCCCGTCCTGCCTGTCCCCAAACCCTGCAGAGCCGCACATCTGGGCAGGGTCTGCTGCAGCCCGAGGGATAAGGGTCAAGGTCAGGTGGGGCGCCAGCACCTCACCTTGAGACCACTCTGTGGCTCAAACCAGAGGTCCCTGGGTCACTGCGGGCCTGGGCCACACACATGCCTGCCCAGGCCTTCAGGCCCCAGCTCTGACCCACGTGATGTGGGTCTCAGGCTGATGCTGTGCCCGCCAGAGGGGTTGGGGTCCCTGCTCTGGGCCAAGGCAGCACTGTGTGCAGTGCCACTGAGCTACATTCCCGCCCCCAAGCCGTGTTTTAACAAGGCAGCGCTGAGGTTCAGAAGGGGCGACCAGGTGGGAACACACACCAAGGGGTGCACTGGAAGCTGGACCCGGGTGCAGGCCCGACGGGCACGTGACCGCTGCCTGGCAGGGGCACAGATGGGTGTAAAGGAGAAGAGGCCGGATGCGTGGCTTTGAGGAAGTGAGGGCCTGGGGCAGGGGTGGGGAGGCCCTGGGGGACAGCAAGCTGGGAGCACAGACGCCGCAGAGAGGGGGCCGGGCAGTGGCACAGGAACTGGGAGGCCAGGGAGGGGGATGGCACGAAGTGTGGCGGCTGCTGGGTGGCACCAGGGCAGGGGGCAGCTGCAGCCACAGCCTGGGAGGGGCACCTCGTCTCCTGGGCCCTGGGCGCATGGAGGGGGTGGAGCGACAGGTGAGAGATGGGGCGGGGCACCCCAAAAAGGGCAGCGGGTCCTGGGTGTGAGGGCAGGGAGGAGTAGGTGGCCCGGAGGGAATGCAGCCCTTCTGTCCCCAGGCTCCCAGTGAGCCAGGCCAGGGGGGTCTCTCCAGGTCCACAGCACATGCTGCCCGAGGGGGTGCAAGAGGTGCCCCCAAACCTGGCATTCCCTGGGTCCCCAAGGCTCCCAGACCCACAGTGAGCAGTGCTGGGAGGGTCTAGGACAAGATGTGCTCACCGAGGGCCCAGGAGCCAGCCCCTACCTTCCCGAGCAGGGGTCTCCTGCCTGGCCCTGGGTCGGCCTGGGGCTCCCTGGAGCAGGGGTCACCCCAGGTGGCAGGGGGACACAGAGGCCAAGAGGTTGTGCTGAGCTCTGTGGTCACAGCAAAGGGGCAGCCAGGACTGGGGCTCGGCCTCTGCCCAGTGGGTCCCAGCGGCCGGCTCCGAGGATACAGCCGCAGCCCTACTCCCAGGTAGCCCAGGAGCCACAGGTGTGGGACAGGAGCGGCTCGGGGTGCGGGGTGTGTGCCCTACAGTCACGGCGGAGGGCCCTGTGTCCCTAGTCCCAGGCCTAGCCGTGGAGGTCCCCCAGCCACTGCTGCCCACCCGGAAGGGGCTGGGGTCAGGCCCGGGCCACCAGCCTCACCCCCACCTGCAGCGATCGCAGCTCTGCCAGGGCCACCAGCCCTCAGGATGTCCCACCTGGGCTGTCACAAGCTCTGGGTCACAAGCCCAAGCCGCTTCGCCCTTGGGCCGGCTAAGTGTGGCCCTGAGCAGGGTCCCTCTCAACTGCTGGCGGGGCAGGCTGACCCCAGGGGATGCTGGCAGCACGGGCCCCAAGTCCCTGCCTACTGCGTCTACGGGGGGGGGGGGCATAAAGCATCAAGGTGAACCCGAACTCTGCCACCCCTCTCGAGTGCCCGGCTGCCCCCACACTCACTGCATTTATGGAGCCCTGGCTGCACCCCGAGGCCCACAAAGGACATGCAGCATCCAGGGCTGTGTGAGCCGGCTGGGGTCTGTCGGCCTCCTGTGCCCCAGGAGGGCCCTGGACAGGACAGACAGGCCTGGCCGGCGGCCCTGGGGAGTCCGAGACCCTGTCCTGAGGTGGGTGCAGGGGCCAGCCGGATGCCCCAGAACAGGCGCTCTCTAGGCGGGGGTCTCCCCCACCCAAGCTCGCTTCACCTGGGGACCCAGAGAAGGGCAGTGACAGCCCTGGGGCCACACAGCAACTCAGAGGTGTTCTGCCTCGGTCCACCCAACGCCCGGCTTCCTCCACGCCAGGCTGCTCCCAAACCTATGTGTGTGGGGGGGGACCGAGCCCCGCGGAAAGCCCCGCCCCGGGACCCCAGGGCGCGCACGCAGCCCGCGGGGCAGGAGGGGCGCGGCCAGGACGCTTTCCAGCCCGGAGAGAGGCGTCGCCCGCTCCTCCGTGAAGACCTGGGGACCGCGGGCTCCGGCACACGCGGCCCGGCGGCTCTGCCCGACCCGCAGCGTGGCGGCCGCTCCCGCGCTCCTACCCGCTCCACATCGCAGCCTCGGCCCGGCGTCCTCCGTCCGCGCCACCGCCGCCCTTGCCGGGACCCGCCCCGCGTCACATGGCCGAGGGCAGCCCGGGGACACGTGCTGGCCCCGCCCGCCGTCACGTGCACTCGGCCCGCCCATCCCACTCGGGGACGGGACTGCGAGCGCGACAGACAGACACGCAGTCGGCCTCGGCCGCACCAGCTCGGGCCGCCCCGCCCCAGATTCACGCGAGTGTGGAGACGGCGCCGCGCCAGCCCTGGGCTTCTTCCCGGCTGCCTGCGCGGTCCATGGGGGCACTCTCGAGGGGGACCCCAACTCGGTCTCAGCCCTCCTTGCATGAGGGTCCCCAGGGAGGGAGGGTCTGACCTTGGCTGTGACCCCCCCCCTCACCGGGCCTGCCACGGGCGGGACCCTAGAGCCTCCCTCCAGGGCATGTGGGGTGAATCCCTGAGGAGCGCGTGCACCTGCGTCCCCCTCCCTCTGACCCACCAGTCCTGGGCCTCAACTTCCCCAGGGCACTGGGCAGCAGCAGGAGGGGTGACCCCCAGGCTGCAGCCCACCCAGTCAGCTGCCATTCGCTGGACCTGGATCAGCTCCTCCTGAGCCCAGACGGGCTGCCAGGGCAGGAACCGCAGGGCGCCGTACACACCTGGTCCCCCTCTGGCCCAGCGTGGTGGGGAGATGAGCTCAGGGATCCGCTTCTGGTCAGTTTCCCGGGGTCCCCAAGCCAGGTGCTGGTGTAACTGACAACACGGAAGAGGGCTCCCCTGGCCCAGGTGGGCACCGCGCACAGGTCGGTGAGTGGAGGCCGGGCTGGCCCTGCCTGTGCCTTGCCCTTTCCCTGGCTGACGGCTTGTGCAGGGAACAACGTGGACGCGCCCCCCAGTGTCCCTTCCCACTCTGCGCCATTCTCACCCCTGGCCTGGTCCCTGCATCTGCTGCATAGTTGTCCCCAGGGCTATGGCCCTAGAGGCAGTGTCCCTCTGCCCAGCCCGGCTCGGGTTAGATTGGGGTCTGGCCCAAAGCAGGTAGGTGTCACCGAGTTGGCTGACAGAAGCCCTCACAGCTGGCTGAGCAGGCCCTTGAGGGGACCCCAGAGGTCAGGCTGTGTCACCTCTGGGGACTCCCTGGACACTGCGCTGCTGTGGTCAGGCCACGGTGCTGCCCCCCTGGCGGCTCACGCTAACTGCTCCCTGGACTGGGACCTCTCACTGGCTGCGGGGCCACCGGAGTGCATGCCCTCCAGACCCATCGGGGTGACCAGGTGCTCAGACCCCCGGGCTCACCTCTCTGCGCCCCAGGACTCCTCTCCCGAGGTCCCTTGCAGCACAGGGCACAGGCCCGCCGGGGCATAGCGGACGGCGCCCGAGCGCATGGCCAGGAACACAGGGCACGGCCCGCACGCGGGGCAGCCGGGGGGCTCCTCAGAGGCAGCCATACCGGCAGCCGAGGGTCCCTCCGGAGCCGCGGTAACCTTTGCTATCTGTCCCCGCAGGAGCCGGTGGCAGGGCGGTGCCTGGATGGCCCCTATCTATCTCCGAGACCGGCTGGGCAGCCGTAATTATTAACTGCAGCCCTGCCCCCTCCAGGAGGCTTGGGGCGGGGAGCAGCCCTGCGGCTCAGGTCCTGTCCTGAGGGTCGGTTGGCCCGCACGAGGTGGTGCAGGTCCAGGATGCCCCACATGCAGTGCTGGAGCCTCTTGGTACCTCAGACTCCGTGCCTCAGTTCCCCACGGTTAGGGCACGCCAGCCCGGCTGCCCTTGCCGGATGCGCCGCCTTGTCCCCGCCCCGCCCGGGGACGGGTGAACGGGCCACTCTGTCCATTGGGCCCGGCTCTGGTCTCGTCCTGCCCTCCCTGGCTGTGTGACCTGGGGGAGTCTCGGGACCACTGGGGCCCAGTCTGAGGGGAGCACAGCGCGCCTGTGAGTGATGTCGGGCGTCTGCCTCTGTGGACAGCACGTACTGGCCCTCCCTTCCGTGCGCTTCCGTCCCCTCTTCCCACCCTGGGAGGGGCCGCTGGGCCTGATACAAACCAGATGCGGCCTCCCGGCCCGGTGGGGGTTCCTGGCCACCCCACCCTTCCTGTTTTGCTCCTCACTGTCCCCACCTTCCTGGCCTGGCCTCCCCTCACCTGGAAACCATTAACTGGGACAGGATGCCCGGAGAGGGGGGAACTGCCTCTTGCCCCACAAGGCGTGGAAGAAAGCCCAGTGTCGTCCCTCCCGGCTGAGCCCCAGCCAGCCCTCTGTGGGGAGACTGAGTCAGGTGCTGGGACCTACAGGGAGGCGCGCTGCTGTCGGGACCCCAGCCCTGCCCAGACAGGATGGGGAGCTCTTGGGGCCCCGACCCGCCCTGTGACTTCCTAGAGCCCAGCGCCTGTCCTCCTGCGGTGAGGACACCGAGGCTGGGAGGGGCCCGAGGAGCAGCCGGGCGGAGAGACACGTGGACGAGTCCCCTGGGGCCTCTGTCTCTGCAGCCATTCCTGTGGTCACGAGGGAGGCTCCGAGGACACTGCCCGCCACCGTCAACCAGGCCCTCACACCTGGCCCCAAAGCACCACACGTCTCAGGGCTGGGCTGGGCGCTGGGGGTCAGGGTTCCCATGGCAACACCACCCCAGAGCTCTGCACCCTGCCGTCCCTCACTCCTCCGCCAGCAGGGGTGGTGGACCTCCAGGTGGAACCCAACTCCTCTGCAGCCTGGCCCCTGCCTGGATCCGAGCTTGGAGTCTGAGGGACGGACGCTGCTGCAGAGGGAGGTGACTGAGTGCTGCCTCATTGCAGCGGGAGCAGGGCCAGCCCAGCCCGTGGTGTGCAGAGGGGCTGGGGTCCTGCCCACCCCCACAGCCCGGGGCCCCCTGGCCCCCTGCTGCCCAGGCCTCCAGGCTGAGTCATCCTTTCCCTGGCTGTGAAGACAAAGACTTCCAGATCCAACTACACTGATGAAAATTTGAGCCTCCGTTTACCCAATTTAAATTTGGAAGGGTCATGTGAGGATTAGCTTTTTTCTGTTCTGGGAATTGAACCCAGGGTCTTTTGCAGTAAACTACATCTTCAGCGCCTTCTTACTTGTTGGGACGGGATCTTGCTAACTTGCCATCCTCCTGCTTCAGCCTCTGGGGTAGCTGGATTCCAGGCATGCACGCCTGCCTCCAGGGTTCACCCTCTCGGGCTGGGCCTCTCTAGAGAAGTACGGTTGAAGAACCAGCAAGATTTGTAGGTCTGTTTGGGCACCGTGTTCCCGGGGGGCTCAGGACAGCGAGGCGGCTTCCAGGCAGGCAGAGTTTGGGCTTTATTCTCAGGCCAGCGGGGCAGTTAAACAATTTTAGCAGGAGAGAGATCCTGGGTGCCCTGCTGATGGCGCGGCATGCAGAAAATGGCAGTGGACAGGTTCTCACCGAGCGTCCCGCGTAGGAGGGAGGGACCCCTGCTGGGAGGCCGAAAAGCCCCGCTCAGGAGGCACAGCTGCTCCCGCCCCAGGAAACAGCCCAGAGAGCTCAGCCAAGGGCCCAGTGTCAACACCTTCAACTCAGGAAGGCGTCACAGATCACTGAGGACAGGCGGGAGCCCAAGGGGACATTTGCTCATCAAGTACTTAGTGAGGTGGGGCACTCGGGAGGCTGAGGCCGGAGAATCATTGCAAGTCCAAGGCCTGCCTCGGCTACACAGTGAGTCCAGGAGCAGCCTGGAGTAGATAGTAAGACTCTGTCATGAAAAAACCAAAAATCCTTGCTGGTCATAGTGACACAGGCCTGTGATTCCAGCACTCGGGAGGCTGAAGCAGGAGGATGGCTGTGAGTTTGAGGCCAGCCTGGAATACATAGCGAGACCCTGTCTCAAAAAACAACAAAAAACAACCCCCAAATATTTAGTGAGCAGGAGGGACGGTCTCTGCTTTCACGGGGTGCACCCTGAGGGGGTGAGCTACAGCTCCAAGGGGCAGACTCGGTCCAGGAGGGCCTGGCTGGACATTTCTGGAGCAGAGTGGGAGTGGGCAGGCTGCCGCACAGGTCAGGACAGGGCGAGGATGGCTCAGCTCAGCCAGGGCAAGAGACCAGTTTCCACGCAGACACCTCCGGGGCGCACGGGGAGGACCGGAGAATTCCCATGCCCGAGACAGCAGGCTGGGGTGGCGAGGGACTTCCGCTCCAGGAAAGGACATCCTTAGCTTCCCTCGGGAGCTGGAGCGCCCAACACACCAGCAGGGCTGGAGCCCGAGGCAGGGGTCCCCACCTAGGAGCCTGATGCCTCCCTGGGCAACACAGGAGGATCCAGTCTAGGAAGGAAGGAAGGGAGAGGGCAGGAGGAGAAAGGGAAAGAAAAGAAAGGAGAAAACAAAATACCCTAGGAAGAGAGGCTTCGAGTCTGTGGCTGTATGGCCCTCGGTGCCCTCCAAAGCGTTGGAGCCAGGTGCTTGGCCCCGAGGGGGACCTGGGGCCCGTCCCGTCCCGGAGGAGGTGAGGCTGGGGAACCAACAGACAGTGGCACCCAGCGGCGCAGTTGGAGATGGAAAAGGGTGAAGGAGACTCGGGCCTACGGGGTCCTGGAAAGTCTCCCCGTTTTCCAGTGCTGGGGATTGAAGTCAGAGCCTTAGTGCTCAGCAACAGGCCAGCTCATTTTTTATTTTGAGACAGGGTGTAAATTGCCCAGGCTGGCCTTGAACTTGGAATCCTCCTGCCTCAGCCTCCCAAGTGCTGGGATTACAGGCTCATTGTTTATCACACATCTTAGTTCTTTTCTTGTCCCCTTTCTGTCCTCCCTCAATCTCTCTCTTTTTTTTTTTGGTTCTCTTTCTGGCCACTGGAGGGCTGAGTTCCTTTGTCTCGGCCCTGGTATTATGTTTCTTATCATCTTGGCCCTTCTGAGGCTGAAATCATAGTCCAACAATGGGCTCTGATTCTTATACCTGGATTTTAACTGTAAAATTCACCTTTTCCATCACATTGCCTATTGTTATGTCTGGCACCTCTAGTGCATGATGGTCAGAATGAGAGGGAGGCAGGGAGGGAGGGAGAGGGGAAGGGGAAGAAAAGGAAGGGGGCAGGGAGGGGAAGATGGAGACAGAGACAGACAGAGACAGAGAGACAGAGAGAGACAGAGACAGAGAGAGACACACAGACAGAGACAGCCTCCCGCCTTGTCTATCCCTTTCCCACTTGAGAAAGATCTGTCTCCCTGCTTCCTGTTATCTGTCTTTTCTTTTGCTCTTCATTCATACTTTGGGCTTATCTAACGGAAACCATGTGATATTTAAGCTTGTGTGTCTGGTTTATTTCACTTAACATCTGGTCTCAAGGTGTATCCATTCTCCTACAAATGACTCAAGTGTATCCTTCTTTATGGCAGAGTAGTACTCCATGGTGTGTAAATACACATTCTCTTTATCCACTCATCTGCTGATGGCATGTAGGCCACTCTAGATTTAGCTATTATGAGTTGTGCTGCTATAAATATGGGTGTGCACGGATCACTGTAATATGGCTTTAATTCTTTCAGGGCGATGCCCAGAAGGGGAACAGCTGGGTCAGATGGGATTTCTAGTTCTCACGTTTTAAGGAGTGTCCACACTGATTTCCACAGTGGTTGTGCCAGTCTGCACTCCCACCACAGTATGGAGGGCCCTGTCTGAGTCCTGCCTTAAGACTGGAAATCCTCCCTGGAAGTGGGCGGGCCGTGAGTGGGCAGTGCCTGCCTGGGGGAATCCTGTGACACAGGTGCTGCAGAGGCCCCAGCCCTCTTCTGCCTCGGGCAGCCACACCTCCCCTGCCCCGTCCCTCTGGGGAGCCGGCCCACCCAGGCAGGGACCCCAGGGACCCCGAAACCTGTCACCCAGCACTGTCCAGCCAAGGACACCCTGCAGTGGGGCCAGGAGCTGCTGCCAAGGAGCTGTTAAGCATGTTTACAGCCCTGGCTTTCCATGTGAGCAGTGCCAGGGGTTATCGGCCAGATACAGAGAGCCAGTGGCCCGAGAGAGGATGAAGCCAGCTGGAGGAGGAGGGCAATTGGCAGGAAACAGCCTGCAGGAAAGGGAGGAGGAAGAGGAGGAGAAAGGAGAAGAGAGGGAGGAGGAGGGGGAGGAGGAAGAGGAAGAGGAAGAGGAGGGCCATGCTTGGTTAATGTCCCCAGAGAAGAAGAGAATGCATTGCACTCAGGAAATAGTGTGAGCCTGTGAAAGTAACCATCCAGGCACCGTGGTGGTGCAGGTCTGTAATCCCAGCACTCAGGAGGCTGAGGCAGGGTCGCTCCAAATTTGAGGTCAGCCTGGGGTACATAGTGAGCCAAGGCCAGCCCGAACTACAAAGTGAGACCCTGTCTCAAAAAAACCTCTTGAAATTATATATTTTTAAAGATAGAGTCAAAATGAGACTCTCCAAAGGTTGGAAGACAAGTTGAGGAAATAGCAAAAAATAGAAAGAAACAGGAGAGGAAAGATTAGGCAATTAGTGGACCAACTTAGGCGGCTCAGTATCTAAATGAGGCTCAGTATCTAAACGATGAGGGTTCCACAAAGGGAGTGGAAGAAAGCAAAGGGAAGGAAGCATTAAGCAACTCAGGAGCACTCCCCGACAAGCACGTGCGTTTCACACCGGAAGCCACGGAGCTTGTGCCGAGACACGAGACACGGCAGGAGCGCTGTGCTTCAGCAGCGCACAACCTCAGGAAGCTGGGGCGGGGCGCCCCCCGGAGCCC